CTTTCTTGGGATGTGCTTTCCTGGAATGTGTTGGGTGTGCCAGGTAATTGGATCCAGTTTTTTATCGTTAAAGCTGAACCCTGAGCAGAAACTGTTAGGTCAGCTAATCTTGCATCTACAGCTTTGCCTATGGGGCCCAGTCAGTTCCACAAACAGTTAATTTTATCATTTTGGTTAAACTTATGACAGACAAGTTACATTTGCGGTTTACAAACTGACAAGCTTTATATTATTTAATACTACCTGCTTAGGCAAAATACCAAATGCCTCTAAAAAGCACATATTTATTGCGTATTAATCCCTCTGGTTTTGGCCGTCACACTGGAGCATTGGAGCTGGCACTGCATCTACGTCAGGAGGAAAGGGGAGCAGCGTCCTACACTGGGCTGGGGAAAATCAGTCCCCACCCACTGGCAATCAAAAGTTTAGAGGGGCGTCCCTCTCACTCGAAGGGAGAAGGATGCCAGACAACGGTAGCCCAGCCCTTTGGCACCAGGGACTGGGGCTCCAGCTGCCTTAACATCTAGGCAATTGATCGATGCTAAAGCCGACGCCTGACCCTTTGGAGAAGGGGCTTACACGGAATGGCGGAACAACAAAATCCAACCTCGGAGCAGTTAGCGAGTGGACAGGGTGTAGGGGAGGCGCAGCCTCGAGGAACATTGCATCACAAATGTGAGTACCCCTGTCACTGGGACATCCAGGAAGAAGAACTCCACTGAATCCCTCCTTTTTCCGTTAACATCAAGTCATGGCAGGTGAGTTGAGGGGCACTCTGGTAAAGGGGGATGGTGTGGTACTCACCACGTCCGCTAGAAACGCCACACTTAGATCCACCTGAGTGTGGAACTCTCCCACCTCCAATACTACCAAAACACCTGTGGACCTGGTACCCTTGATCCTGTGAAACTGCCCCCAGTTCTTCCACCCTGTGGCAGGGCACCTTTGATGCCTTGCCACATTTAAGGCAGAAAACAGGTAGCAGTCAGGTGCCCGATGAGGTCAGTCATTTTAGCTCAGTGCTGTAAGCTGGGCTGCAGTTTGCTGCAGGAAGGAAGAAAGTAACATCAGGCTGAGAGCCTACTCTGGGAATATCAGGAGGTAAGGGCAGGGGCTAAGGGGTGGAGGTGACCCCTTGTCTTGGGTAAGATATAAAACTGCATCCTGCTGGGGAATAGTGGTCTGGTGGGGCTCCTGGTGGTGTGGGAGCCCCCAGGAAATGCCAGGCCACTTACCTCCCTGGTGAAAGGTGGGTCAGGGTCCCTTATAACCCCAGCCCCACATCCCTGGTAGTGTTCTAATGAGCAGGGGGAGTCCAGGGCTCATTAAGGAGCCCTGAGGCAGAGCTCAGGCTGGAGGAGGGATCTGGGGCTGTGCCCAGGCAGCAGGATAAAACCTGGGGGTGTGAGTGAAACCCAGAGAGAGAGAGATGGGTGATGACTAGAGCGGGCCAGTGAGTAGAGGCACCATGAATATGCAAGTGTGCAGGTCCAGTGGGGGCATAGTGGCCCAGCAAGAGGCCAGGAGCGAAGTAGGCCAGCAGTTGTAGAATCGCTTAGTCGATGCTCAGGTGAGGGTAGCAGGAGATACCCAACAGACTGCGCTGGGGCTGACTGAGGTGTGGAGAGACAAGCCCAAAGCCAGGTGCGGCCAGGTGGTATGAATGTGGCCCTGAGAGAGAGGGCAGTATGAAAGAGGCTGGGTGAGAGTCAGCAGAGTGAATGGGACCCCAGTGAGAAAGGGGTGGCATGAGAGTGGCCCTCCAGGGCTGTAGAGTAGAGCTAGAACTGTGCGCCCAGTTTGCCCATAGGCCGGAGAAGTAACGCACACGGAGCAACACCTTTGAGGCATGGGACCCATGGAGGGAAGGTCAGAGTGGATATTAAGGCCCTTGTCAGCCAGTAATGGGTAGCCTCCTGCCTTAGTAACAACTCTCATATTTTTCTATCAAGGCATGGCAGATGAGTGAAGCAGGCGGTTACCCCAGGAACAGGGCATCCAGCAGACACCCAACGAGGAGGTCACCCTGCTACACATTTCCAATCCCACCCCTGATAGCACAGGTAGCTTGGGATGCTGCCCCCACATCTCGCCCCTGCAGACTCCCCTGCACCCTGGCACTTGCTGCCCTCCTCTAGCACTCCCAGTCTCCAGGGATTCCTGTGGCAGGGAGGTCCCCAGGCCTGTCTCATGAAGCCTGCAGCCTGAAAAAACTGCAGGTTGGTGCAATTGGGTGTTAGCCCAGTAGAGCCTGAGGTGGCAGGAGCACAAGGAATGGCCAAGGCTTAGCTTGGAAAAACTGCAGTTCAGCATGGGAGCATACAGAGCAGCTGGGGCTCAGGACAGCAAGTATCAGGATGCAGGGGTGTCTGTAGGGGTGGTAGACACATAGATGCAGGTAGGGGCAGCAGCCCCAGCTACATGCACAATCAGGGGCAGGATTGGGGGTGGTTATGTGGGGTCAGGGATGCCATGGGGGTGGTTAGTGGCATCAGGGGGATAGTGAAACAAGTCTACACCTAGATGGACCTAAGCAGAAGAAAAATGGGTTCTACATCATCGCTGCTGGCCTACTTGAGGAACTTCTTTTTCTTACATGTCATGAAATCTGCTTAAATAGTCACTAGGATAACTCCTCAATTTGTTCTTATTAGTTAGTCAGATCCGTACATGGTCAATTCAGTCTGTATGTATCCATAGTAACTTACAAACACTCAATTTACTATCAATATGGTTATTTTTGAATCCATTTATTTTGAAGTCTGTACTTTTTGGTCCCTTGCATTTTGAACTAATGAGGCTGTACTGTATCATGTATAAAACTCAACAAACCAGGCAAAAAAACAACCAAACAAAAGGTGTTGTTTCTGTCATCCTGCAGTAATCAGAATTAAGCGTACATCTCTTTCAGATTCATAAAATCTTAACCTTCTTGAACATCTTGATAGCGTCTCCCAAGCTTCCCTGAAAGTTATTTCCATATCTGAGTTACTGTTTTCAGTTTGTTAAAAACAGTCTGAAGTGCTGTGAAATAGGAGTCATATTAGCAGAAGTAGTGAGCACACAGCAGAATGGCAGAAAAGCCAATTTAATTATTGGAACATCAAGACCATTAAAAAGGAGAAAAGGTCATGATGGCTTGTGGAATGAGGAGTTCAAAAGGAACCCAGGAGATTCTAGTGAAATCATGCGACTCGCTCACTGCTGCCTGCCTAGAAATGCAGCTGCCACCACCAGTTGGCTTTAAAATTTGCATGGAGCAGGATCAAAGGGGGGCATGACTGCACCATGGCACACCCTGGATCCGGCCCTGCATGCACCTATGATTGCACTGTGAACATGTCTGTGCACAGCTCCGCGCTGGAATCCCACAGGAGCAGTTCTGGAGCCTGTTGCAGTAGCAGTTGGCCAGCTGCTCTCTGTGCTTCCCAGGCCCTCTGCATCAGCTGCAGCGTGGACCTGTCTGGGCTACCTTGGATAGCGCTGATCCCGATTCCCACTTCAAGCAGGGGGCTGGACTACAGCAGCATTTCCCTGCCCATGGGTTGTGACCCAAAAGCGTGTTGCAAGAACATATGAAAGGGTGTGAACAAACTTTAAAAATGGATTCTCCTTTAAAAGAGAAAAATGTGAGAAACGGTGGCTTCTCCCTTGGAGGCTGGTAGTCCCAGCCACACGCTGTTGGGGCTGGGGGGTAGTGTGCCAGGGGTGAGAGGCACTGGGACGGCACTGGCCATCAGCGTTTACAAACGGATGCTGGTACAAAGAAGACTGGAAGCGACTGCACTGCATGACCTGCGCAGGTGTCTTCTCTGTGCGCCTGAGGGAGCAGCTGCAGAGCAGGCACTGAGCAGAGAACGAGGGTGGACATAGCTGGGGGAGCAAACGTGCGGTCCCGCGCTCCCGGAGATTGGGCCCTCCTGGGCAGCGCCACCCACTAAGGCTCATTCGGGCCTCGCAGCAGGACACGCCCGCCCCCACCTCCCAGCGCGCCCGGCGAGCACACGCCAACCCCACGGCGCCCCCAGCAGGCCCCGCCCCGGCCCCGCCCTGCGGGGCGGCCAACCAGCAACAGGCAGAGCAGGGACTAGCCCGCCTCTCGGCTGAAACTACACTTCCCAGCGTGCCCGGCGCTACCCAGAATCCCACTCGCTGGAATTATTTTCCCCCTCCCCCCCGCGCTCTCGTTTCCCATGATGCCGCGCGGCACCGCGCGTTCTTATTGGGTGGATTTGAAAAAGTGCCGCGACGCAGGCTGCAGTGGTCCTCCTTAGGCTCGAGGCGCCTTGTGGGCTCTTGGGTTTCACTTGTTTGGTTACTGAAAAATACTAGAGCAATTTTGTGGCAAAGCACTCGGGAAGACCCTAGCAGGCCAGGCCAGGCTCTGGGTTCCTATTTGCAATCTTTGGGCTTATTTTGTGAATCATGTTTGTACACTAAAGGTTGCAGCAATTATCATTTAACAACTGTAATTACTCGAGGCGCCTTGTGGGCTCTTGGGTTTCACTTGTTTGGTTACTGAAAAATACTAGAGCAATTTTGTGGCAAAGCACTCGGGAAGACCCTAGCAGGCCAGGCCAGGCTCTGGGTTCCTATTTGCAATCTTTGGGCTTATTTTGTGAATCATGTTTGTACACTAAAGGTTGCAGCAATTATCATTTAACAACTGTAATTACAATAGGTTAAAGGGGGTGTGTGTACACACACCCACACACACTTCTTAAATTGCATATATTTATATCCCTAATTTGGGGGCATGTGTTTACATGAGAAAATATGGTAATATTAAAGGTCATAGAGTGCATCTGATAAAGATCTATGATTGTTGGCATCCTCTTGCTTCAGCCTTTCAGGTTGGAGATTCTTTAATTAATATCTGCTGAAACTTCCCGGCTCTTCTTGGATAATAATAACTCTTGTTCCAGCATGCTTTATGTATTGGACAATTCTGTACTTACGTGCACTGTGTGAATTTTTTAACTTGCACTATGTTGTTTGGTTATTTTTGGTTATGCCGTGATACTTAAATAATTGGCTTTTTAGTCTTTGCAGAATGGAACCAGTTCTGGATCCAGAAACGATTTTTAGACCATCCTATATTGCCAGTGTTGAGCTACCTTTGAGAACTGGGCCAGTAAATGTTGAAGATATCAAAACAAACCTCTCTGATGAATTTTCCTTGGCTGCTTCAAGCTTGGATATGAGTCAGGTGAGAATAAAATAGTATATTGTTCACCTCGAACTTTAAATGAGCTTGCATTGCAATGTCTCTCTGTGGTAGTTTAATTACTTTTATTAGTTTAAAGAATAATGTATGCATAGTTCTGCTTAAACATGGAAGGGGAGTACTAAAGTTGGTGCTGTTGCATCTCTGCCTTGCTAGATCTGTCGCGCTTTGCGATTGCTTCAAGTATGCATAAACACTTGAAAGGACTGCCACATGTCAGTGCAGGCAGGGAAATACAAAAGTGCTGAGCCATAAGGAATACACATACATCTTATCTGCGTACACATATCTTGTACCATTCTAGTACTATAATAAGCCGAAGTTTGTCTGTTGGTCCATAACACTTTATTTGCACTCTGATTAGCTGATGAAAACAGCCAATCGGAGTGCTCCAAGTGTGGGGGAGCACTGCCATGATTCGGAAGCCAAGCCGAGGTCAGCAGCACTGGCCCTGGCTTCCCCACTCTGCTCCCTGCAAGGGGCAGAACAGTGGCAGCATGGGGCATTAGGTGATGGCACTCCATCCCCTGCCTCTCCCCCCTCACCACCCTGTCATTCTTCCCCCCCGATCACTTTTGACTGGCAGTTGGCTAGTATGTTGTAATAGAAGGACAACGCTAACAGCATCTTCCTTATGCCATAGTTTAATTACCAACCAGAAGCTGATAAGTATAACCAGTATTCTGTAGGAAATGTTGGCAAAAATCTGCCGTTTCATCTTGCTCAGCCCCTCTTAAGTTAAATGATTCTTCAGCTAAGAAAGGATAGCATGGAGGTGTATTGATGGTTCTTATTTTTGCTTCTTGGCTTGAACTTAATACCATGTATTATTTTTTAAAACAAACTTCTGCTGGGACCAAAAGACTTGTAACTTAGTTGAGTGAACTACTATAATAGATGATATAAGGGACAGTAAAACCTGAAATAATTGGCCTTACTTAACAGCACAATAAAATAATGTTGCCTTATTAAACTAAGAATTTGTGTAAGTTGACTAACTTTCAAGGTAATAGTCATATCTTTTCCTTTAAGCCGAACAGCTTTGTGTGCAAGGAACATGTACAAGTTTGCCTTCGAATTAGGCCTTTCACATCATCAGAAAAAGAACAGGAATTTCAGGTGTGTCTTCTCTTTTAAATGCTTGCTTCTTTAATATTAAACTTTAGAATACTACTTAGTTTAAAATGCAAATGTACCATCACTACCACTTTCTTTTCCTTTTCATAGGAATGTGTTTCTATTGAAGACTCAACTAGTGTTATATTGAAAGCTCCAAAGAACTCCATGGCCTGTCGACTCAGTGAAAAAAACATGGGGCAGATGATGCAGAAATTCATGTTTTCACATGTAAGCAGACAATTAGTTCACCGTGTTAAAGCCTCTTTAAACAAGCAGTTACATTTGTTTAATCTTTAGCTCATTAGTACGTTGTCCTTTTCAAAATAAGAAGTATACATTATTTATCTGATTTAAAAATTCTTAGGAGTAAAAGCCCCCAATGATTGTTCAAATTTGAAGATGTTGAGTGACCTCTTGCTACTGCTTAGGTGTTTGGACCTGAAACAACCCAGGAAGAGTTCTTTGAGGGCACAATGAAACAACCAGTACAAGACTTCTTGGAAGGACACAGTCATCTTATTTTCACTTATGGTGTAACAAATGCTGGAAAAACTTACACATTCCAAGGTATGAGCAATTTCTTGAAAAGCAAAATTAAAAAAATCTATTTTATCAAATTCTTATTTAACCTTCAATTATTTAATTGTTTTGGAATAGTTGTTTTTCTTGGGGGAGGGGGGTGAGGTATGTGTGCCTGCATTCATTAGTGCATACTAGCTAATTTGTGTGGACCTTTGGCCTAAATCCTGTTTTACCTTTGTTGCTGAAATGTGATTCTATTCAATTGCCCCTGGGGGGGGGGGAAAGCATTAATATGTCAGCTCTTTCATGTGCCTTCATCTTGGCCTTAACAATAAGTTGCAAAAAAAAAAAGATGGGAGTTCCCGCCTACATTTTACACTAATGGTTTTTCAAGGATTGAGTGGGGTAGAATAGAATTGTATCGGGGGTCTAAATTCTAGTTCATCTATCGTGTCCACCCAGAGTTACTAGTGCACTAAATTTGTGTCCGAACTTGCTGTGTGCTGCTGTTACCATGTAGATAAGCCTTAGAATCCCATGTATCAAAAAGGGGAAAACAAATCTGTCTCCTGATATGGGTGTCAACATCAAAACTAGCAATACTGTATACCTTTAATAGAGAGTGAATGGTGCATGCCATTCTGGATATGGGAAAAAAAGGCAACGACTAATACTTATAATATTAGCTTCTTTCTAAGAAAATGGAGAAGCTCCAACTTGGAAGTTACTGAAAGCAAATATTAGTTTCAGCATTGATTAATCATTATAGTGATCAGACAAGTTTGAAAAATGTACCCACTTTCAAATATTTTAAAGTCTTAAACAGTATTGCCACTACTGTGCTTAATATTCTCTGACAGTCTTATGTCTCCTAAAGCTGTAGTTTGGTATTAGTAATGCTCAGTATCACTGCAGACCAGAAGATGTCATCCTTCCTTTATTTGGTTCCAAACTCTCCTTTTTATTTCCACAAAGAAAAGGAAGATATTTTAAGAATACGTGAACTCAACCACGCTTCATCATTAGCAAAACAATCATTTTGGCTGTTTTTTCAGAGTGTTTGTTATCCAAAAATGTAAAAAAACAGCACAAAGTCCAGTATAGTGCTATATTAAATTATTCAGAGAAAAGAAACAACATATTAGCTTACACCATAGTGACTTATTTCCTGAAGAACTAATGATGGACTGTTATTAAAAACCATTGACAGCTCTTTCAGAGGGTCATTTAATCTTGGAGTGGAAGGAGAGTTTGTATGTTGAGAATCTTTCTTGTACTCAGATGTTTGACACCTTAATTTAGAAATTCTCATTTGCTGTTAGAGCTTTTAAATTTTGTTGTGTTTTTAAGGATTTTTTTTTCCTTTAGGATTATATCTTGTGTATTTTATCTGTTGTGTTGAACCTGAAAAGCTGTGAAATCATAGTAAAGCTCTGGATTCAGAGCAGTCGGGTATGTGGAACTGGGTCTGTCTTTTTCCCTGCAATTTTCAAAAAATAAGTCTTCAACTTTTTACCTACTACCTTTTTCAGAGAGAGGTTAGAAACATCTTTTTACAAACTACTTTGCATTTGGCTCTGCTTCCCACGTAGCTAGCTTCATGACTTCCTTTAATTTCTATTGATATTTAGTGAGGGTCTCATCAAAGTAGACCCAGTTATTTTGGAGGGAGGGGCAGGTAAAACACCTGACCATGAGGGTTGATTTTGGAGAGAGAAAAAATGGCCAGATCAGATGTTAAGTTAATGATGCACCTATTTGTAACCCCGCCCCCTGTAAGCAGTAGTCCCAACATAGCCTCTTACATTTTTGATCCCAATGTCAAAAAAACCCCACACTAGAAAAAAGCAGTGTGGCACACATGGTGGCAGTGTGCACCACCTGAAACGAGGCTGGATGACCAGAGCCACAGTTCAGTTGCCTGTTTGTCTCCCTTCTGCCAGATCGCTGCTGCTGGAGCCCCAGGGGGCCCCCAGGTAAGGCTGCTAGGGCCAGCCCAGGTGCTGGCTCCAGCCTCCCCTACCCCACCTGGGGCAACTTGCCATGCCCAAGAGTACACATGCACAGGTGTTACCCAGGGACAAGTAGCAGCGGCACAACTTTGTGCTGCTGCTGTTTGTCCTCAGGGAAACACACGTACGCACTTGTCTGGATGTGCCCTTTGTGTCCGTCCTACTTTGGCAGCCAAACCAAAAGATCCAACTGGCAGGTTGAGTAGCTGCATCTGAGCTGTAAAAATCTGCATTAAAAATGATGGACTAAAAGTTCCAGTATAGCAGTGTGCCTTATCAACCAGTGCTTATAAAACATAAGGCACTTGTGAAATGGAAGGATGAAAAAAAAATCATGCATGCAAATGGAATAAAATGTCTTTGAAACAGCCTTGCTGGCATCCTGGCTTAGTTACAGGTGCTTCCTGAACAAACACCTACCTATCAGTTAGCCTGACATACTGATAATTTTCCAATTAAACAAATTGCCACCAGAGAGGCAAATTAAATCACTTCTTTACACTTACATTTGTGTATTTTCATGCTTTGAGACCAATATAGTCTACCTTTTTGTATATAATGGTTAGCAAATGTACTGGGAGAGAAATTACAGTGAGCAGGTAAGAAAGGGAAAGCTGTTGTGCTCATGACCTCTTCCTGAGTTTGTTTTTTGGGGGTTCTTTTTTGTGTGTGTGTGTGTGTGTGTGTGTGTGTATTTGTTTGTTTTAAAAATAAGTTCAGTAGCTTTTTCTCTTCCTTTCTCTTCTGAATAGTCAACATACCTAGCCCAAGAGTGGAAAGTAATAAGAATTAGATTGCCACAATTCCCTCTGGCTACTATTAAGTTTTTTTTTTTTCTATTCAAGGGCATAAAAAGGATGCAGCTCCCTTATTCAGCATTTATATGCATCCTTTTCCCGTCTGTTCTGACTACATGGAGTTCACTTTAAAAGAACTCCTAGGAATAGCAAGCAGAAAACAAACAGAAGTCCTTTTGGAGTACACAAATTCAAAGGAACAATGGCAGGAACAAAAAGTGAGAAGACGTGTTGTGTGTGTATTTTTCCCACCCCCCCTCTCGGTGCCAGCTGAAAGTTGCATAGTTGTTTTGTCCAGAACCTGAAGATCTAATTGAGAATTTAGAACTCTACTAGTGTGGTGGATGAGGCCTGGGGTAGTTGTTAGCTGCTGCTGGAGGAGATGGTGATAAAGTGCAAGAGAGCAGTCTGTCTCTAGGTATTTGTACACACATCTTTTCATTCGGTGACGTGCCAGAAATCTGCTTCTGAGCAGACTCGATTAATCTAGTCTGTGCCGCGTGTGAGTTGACGTGCACTGCGCTGCGCGCAGTTGTATAAGTGGTGAAATGCATGTCAATGTAAAGAAAATGGTGACAGTGCACTTTTGAACTAAAGCACCTCTAAGGCTTTTGAACTAAAGCACTTTAGAGGTAAAAAACCCCCAAAAAACAAAAAACCCCACACTAGAAAAATGCAGAATGGCACACATGGTGGCAGTGTGCACCACCTGAAACTGGAGGTACTTCAGTTCACAAAAAAAAATAATTTTTTTTTTTTTTTTAATGGTTTCCTTGCACACCTCCTGGCATGCTGGGGAAAATATCTTCATGTTCCACTAATTGGCACGCATGCTGGGGGTTGCCAATTCCTGCCTTAAAACAAAGGGCAAAAGCTTCAGGCTGGACATAAGGAAGAACTCCTTTACTGTCTGAGCCCCCAAGGTTTGGAACAGACTGCTGCGGGAGGTGGTTCAAGCGCCCACTTGGAACGCTTTCAAGACACATTTAGATGTTTTACCTTGCTGGGATCCTATGATCCCTGCTGACTTCCTGTCCCTGGGCAGGGGGCTGGACTCTGATCATCCAGGTCCCTTCCACCCGAATGTCTATGAAAAGCGACCAACACCGTTTTCTTTGCATTGACATGCATTTCACCGCTTATACAACTGCACATTCCGCAGCACCAGGCTCTTTGAAAACGCCTGACGCTGCAGCTCTTGCATGTATAAAAATGCCCTTCAAGCCCAGAGAAACAGCAAATGGGAATCTGAGTCAGTTGAACCTGCCTAAATTTTCAAAGGGGAAAAGTTTGGGTGCTAGTGTGTGGGGTGTGTTTTTTGTTTGTTTTGTTTTTGTTTTTTTTAATAAAAACTATAACAACAATAATAACACTTGTCTGACTGCTAGTCATCTCTGAATAAACTATAGACTTTTAAAAAGTTTTTTAAGTTGGTCACTAATCATCTGCTGGTCATAACTCCCAACAGAGAAACGTCTTTTAGGCATCATCAAATATAGTTTGGAGCCCCATTGGGTTATGTCTTTTAACAGTGGGGGCTGCAGTTTACTATGTCTGAGAACTGAGTTCCATCCTAGAGAGCAGTGACAGTTTTTGCTTCCTTCACTTAAGAAATATGCTTGAAGGACTACAAAGACAGTCTTGTGTGCAGTTTTCCTTTTAGCTATGACAACATA